CGAGCGCCCGCACGGCCGCTGCGCCCACCCTTCTCGGGAGCTTGGGCTTCCAGCAGCACTCTCGGGCTTCGAGGGGGCCAGGGCGTGGGGAGGAAGTGGGGACTATGTTTCTGCGCGGAGGCGCACTTCGGCCGAAACCTGCACGCATGACGAAAGCGGAGAAGGACCGTGAGATGGAAGGATTAGGCCAAGCGGCGGCGGCCAATAGGAGGACCCGGCAGGATGATGGGCGGGCGAGCCTCCATTCGCATCGAGGCCGCGCCCCCTTCGCCGCCCCACCCCCGCCGTGCTGCCTGGCGGCCAGAGGCGGAACTCTTGCGTGCGAGAGGCCGCGAGAAGCGGTGGGAGGGGGTGGACGCTGGGATTTTATTCTCTGGTTGGCGTGGCCGCCCCAGCGGACTCCTGGCCCTCGTCGTATCTGCGTTCCTAGGGTCTGCCCCGGGTGCTAAGTGTGGCGGGCGCATACACCCGTCTTCGTGGGGGAATCAGGCCCATTTTATGGGTGGGAATACGGAGGCTCGCCCTGCTTCGGGGTCCGAGGGCCCCACGTGGCACCCAGACTGTACCTGTGACCCTAGATGCCTTTGCCTGCCTCTGTCTCGTTTTCCTCATCGTCCAGGTGGAATTTGGGCCTGAGGTCACTTGGCCAGACTGGACAGGACCAGCGGGACGTGCGGCAGGACTTGCTGAAGTCCGTCTTCCTGTCAGTTGTCTGGGTTAGAAGTACCCCTCTTCCCCCTCCGACACACCTGGCATGGGGCCCTAACAGACACAGGATGAGAGTAATAACGAGAGAAACTTTCCAAGTCTACCCCTGACTCCAGAGGAAATCCCACTCTGCTTGGCAGTCAGGCTGGGAAGAGACCTCCGTGGATGGGAAGCTGCACCTCTGCGATTCTGACGGCAGCCATGATCCCACCCCACCCCACCCCTAAGGTGGAGCCCCCAGGTCATGGTTCAGCACAACTCCCCATCAAGGACACAGGGTACCCCTGGGGGGACTGTGAGGAGACCCCGGGGTGGGGGGCGCCCTCTCCAGTGGGTTCTGCTGTGTCTGACCTGGGCTGTCCCCTCCCACTGGGACCCTTCCTGGCTCAGAACTTCTCCCACCTGCTCCGGGTCTGTGGCCTCAGTCTGCCCATCAGGAAAAGGAGATATAGCCCAGGGTTGGGCATGGAAAGGCCCCTCTGGCTCACACCTGCATCTCTTGGCCTCCCCACTGAAGGACCTGGGCCTGTGCAGCGAGCCACCTTAATACTACCCAGCCCCTTCCCTGTGGCCCCAGCCTGACCCCCTTGGGTACCAGGCACTGGTGGTGGCAGAAGCAGTATCGGGTCCAGAAGAGATAGGCCCACTTCTAGTTCCCAGGGTGTTTCTGTGCACACGTATGCTTGCTCCCAGGTGATTAGACCCATTGTACAGATGAAGAGACCGAGGGTCAGAGAGGCCCACCTTGGGGCTCACACCTGCTGTAGCACCTACAAGCTACCATTGTCTTCCCCAGGGAGGCCCTGCTGAGGGCTGAATCACCAGGCTACGCAGCCTGTGGGGGCCCCCACTTGGCTGCCACCTCTGCCCAGCCCTGAAGCCTGGGTGTGCCCTCCAGGGCCCTGGCAGAGGGACAGGATGCCTTCGGCTGGTGCCAGGGGCCCCTCCAGGGCAGCCCACAGCCCGCCCACCCCCTCCCCTCCCGCCTGACTAAGGCCTTTGTTCTCCTGTGGGTGCCTGCGGGACTGCTGAGACCTGCCTCCTGCTCCCATGCACCTCCGCCTACAGCGCCAAGGGACCTGCTAGAGGGGCCCAGACCCCACTGCCCGCCAGGGAGGCTGGACAGAGGAGCCCTGTGGAGTGACAGGTGACAGCAGGGAAGTCGGCAGTTTGATCTCACCAGCGGCCCCTCAGGAGAAAGTGGTCTGCTCCTGTGTTGACGCCTGGGAAGCCCTGTGGGGCTGTTCCACCCTCACTCGGGGCCACTGAGGGCCTAGGTCTGTCCACTGTCACGTGGGGCCACCATGGGCCTAGCTGGACTCTCTCTTCCATGGGGCTACTGTGTCTAACTCAGTTGTCACACAGGATGGCCCTCAGCCTAGCCCAACTCTGCCACGCAGGGTCTAGCTCGACTGTCACAAGGGATGGTCGAGGGCCTAGCTCTACTCAGTGTTACCCAACAGCAAATCACAAAGACCAAACATGGGGGAAGTTTCTAGAAGATGCGCACAGCAGTTGTGCAGGCCTTGGCCATCCTCCATGAGCTAGACCTGGACTTGGGGCCCTTCCCCATCTCTATTTGTAGTTGCTGCCAATGTGGGGCAGTGCTGAGTGTGAGCACACTCTGGGCAGTGCTGAGTGTGAGCACACTCTGGGCAGTCCTGAGTGTGAGCACAGTGCTCTCCCCGTGCCCAGCTCCCCTAGAACTTCCCACCATCAGAAGCACCTGTGGGAGGGAGGAGCTGGCTCCAGCCAGCACCCGGGCCTCAACATCTCCAGAGAGAAGAGGCCACCACTCCTGGCTGCACTCAAACTCTCCTTGGAGAGCCCAGCCCTGCTGGCTCTGTGCACCACGGCCACCCTCCCCAATAGCCTGGTCTCTGCCCACCTGGGGTCAGAGCTCCGCTGGAGTGGAGGTTCAGCCCATTGTCAGGGGCTCAATGTGGAGCCCTGGCCAGGGTCAGGGCAGCCCCTCACTTCTGGGAAAGAATAGACATTTCCAGGGTCAGCCGATGTTCCTGCCGGCCAGGAATCTCTCAGAGGGGGCCATGGGCACTGGGGGCTCGTGACCCTCCCTGGAGCCACCAGCCTTGTTGGCTTCAAACAGATGTTCAGCAGCACCTGGCAGACTTCAGTCTCAGAACTGCCCCCCACTCCCCACCCCTGCAGCCCAAGCACGGTGAGGCCAGGAGCGAGGCTCT